CTGCTAGGAACAAGAAGCTACTATAGGGGCTCCTGGCATCGCTACTACGACAAGAAGCTACTAGGGGCTCCTGGCCTTACTACTAGGAACAAGAAGCTACTAGGGGCTCCTCTCATCGCTACTAGGAGCAAGGACGCTACTAGGGGCCCCATCAAATGTCCCAAGCTCTGATGCCCCGCACCCACCATGAGGGCTAAAGATGCACCCTTGGCCTCGGTTGCAGGTTGTGACAAACCTATATAATGGTCTGCATGGCAGGAAGACGAAAAGGAGAGCCACGCAGTGTGGAGTGTATGGGCGAAGTCTTTCAAATTTACCATACCTTCTCTGGAAGAGACCACCCAACAAAGCTGGTCCTTGAGCCTTGAGCAGGTGTCTAGACCAATTTCCAAGTGACCTTTCAATGTGTAGCCTCCCAAAACCACAAAGTCATTGCTGACAACCTGGCTTTTCTGAGGTGTTGGCAGACTCAAAGAGCGCCGATGCGCAAAGCCTGATCTTTCGGGCACCCCACAGTCCCCAGTTCCCGGTCTTGAATCGGCAAAGGAAGGTCTGTAAATTAAGTAGCACGTCCTTCTCACTTTAATAGGAAATGGAAACTCAACAAATACCCTGATGGGTCAACAAATAATCACCTGCAGCTGTAGACTCGAATTCAGGATGCCACGCTTATGGCCTTCAACAAAGGCCATGTCTTGGCAGGGAGCGGGACTTGGAGATTCTGAGTGGCTTCCCCGCGGAAGAGTTCCCCAATGTCCATCCCAAATCCGCGATTTTGTGCGAAAAAAACCGAGTCCACGCGCGGTGGTTCGTCCAGTCACGGGAATCCCGGCGCCGCCGAGCCGAAGGAGAGGCCTTTGGAAGGTGGCGGCGGTGCAAGTGTCAACATGCGTCTTCCGATTGCTTTGGGGCAAACTGCTTCACTTAAAGGAAGGTCCAGATGTGGGAAATCCTGATATCACCTGATGTCTCCGCACAATGCAATTGTCCATCCACCTCACTATAGAGCCTTTACTGAAACATATCGAAAGCTCTGCATGAAGGTTGGTCAAGGTCACCAGGGTCTTCTGGTCTCGCTTGACTCAGGTTTACACCAGACTTGCTGGTCCAGTGGCCCTGGGGTCACACAAAGACAAAATGCCAACTTCTTTTCAAAGTAATACATATCATATCGCTGATAGCGTGAGTTCCTGGCTGTTATTGAGAATTGTGCATTGTATCTTGAGCAACTCCTCAAAGTCCCACCCTGTCCAAACTGTTCGCACCCCCAGACATGGCCTACCAAACTCATGAACACGGCCAGCAGCAGTGGATCGCTCCTTCGGCAGTCTGATGCAAAGGTAGCCAAATGCATCAAGAGTGGGGTGTCGTCACAATGGAGAAAATGGACTGAAAAATTGCAGAAGTGAATCCCGTCAAAAGGTAGGAAAACATGTGTGTCCGTTGTGTAATCATTGTCATAATTCCCAATGAACACTTGTAGCAAGTGTCTGTTGCACCAGGAAGAGCTACAAGCAAGGCTTCTATCACACTCACCCTGGACCCTCCGTCTTCTTTTCCACCTGGTATGCAGCACGGGCAGGTATTGCAGGTTGGGCCTGCTTGAATCATCCAATCAAAGATCGACACCCATTTGCCAGGTTCATCCACCATAACTAACAATCAATTGAAGTGTCTAGGTTGGCCTGCCGATGATCTCAAACCCCGGTCTTACCCTTTGATAGCCCCTCCCAGAGGCCTTGTAAAGACACCAACCTTCAAACCCACGGACAGCTGGAGACCTCAGGCACCGAAGAGAAAGAGAACTTTTGTAGCGGTGATGTGGACAGTAAATATGATAAGGGTCGCTTTTCAAGTTATTGACTAACCACATAAGAACAAAGAGCCTGAGAAGTGCTCAATGTTCATCTAACTGGCATACTTAAAGGTCTCATCTCAGCACCTTTTTGGTCGAGACCTAGACATCTGGGCTCCAAGTGTCTCGATAAACGTGTTTTAGAAGGCTTCAAGTAAGCACTGAACCACCTTCCGAAGCCACCTCACTTGGGACCCTACCATAAGCTACGAAGAGGGGCAGCACCTGGCGAGACAGTCAACCAGGTTTTAATGATGACACGAAGAGGTGACTGTCTTCTCGCTCTAGTTTCACTTCTTGTTGGGCACCTTACTACCCCACCGCTGGGCGTCGACTTGCCAATCAATGCATGTCGAGCCTGCAATAACTCGGCCAGGTACCGGGCAAAGTCCTTCAGACCCATCAACTTCATGGCCTTCCCAGTGGGATGCTCGCGGAAACATAATCCAAGGGACCAGGTATCTAGGTATGACGCTCCAAGTATCCAGGTTCAGTTTGTTAGCTCTAATTGCTACAATCGCTACATGTGCTGGTATGGATCAAAGCTTTGGTTTGCCACAGGGCGGCCCCGCTTCAAAGGTCGCGACAAGTGCATCGAACTTTCTAAACGGGCCTGCCTCCAGCAACTTCGCTTCCCGCTCTGCCACAATAGAACCTCGGCTCTGCAGTCTAGATTTAAGCAGAATCTGAGAATCTGAGATTCTGTATCAATTCTATCAATAAAATTGCGTTAGCTGGGAATAGAAGTGATCCAACAAGCAAGGGGCAACTTGAAGTGAACAGAAGTATTCTCTAAGAAGTTGCCGCTCACAAAAGCTCTCCGCACGCATACCAATCGACTGGGATAGGATCATTTGGTGTTTTGGTGTTGCATATCCTGGCACGTGCGTCTAATATGGTATGGCATGATTGCTCCTAGTAGCGATGCCCTTGTTACTAGTAGTAATGCCAGGAACTACTAGTAGCGTCCTTGCTCCTAGTAGAAATGGCCTTTGTTACTAGTGTGTTCTTGAATCAAGTTGTGCCTTTTGTCTCAGTTCAATCGACTGAGTTTGAGGCAGGCCTCAATGATTTCTGGTGTGTTTTGGACATCAACCGATGAGAAATGATTCGCTTTTTTGACCCTGTAGCCTCCATGTTCTTCCCAACTTGCTTCAGTAAGATGTCCTGTGCCTTTTTTCACTTAGTACTGGACACAAAAGTTTAGTCATAGCTTGATGCACCGCACTCAAATGCTCCGAGCGCACCTCTTGGGCTCCCTGACCGGTGGTTTGTCCGGACGTATAAGCAAAGAACGCCACAAGAAAAAGGCCTAGGTTTCAGCTGGTCGTCCTTGTGCTTTCGTTTGATTCTAATGCTGGAATTTTGGGGCTTGTTGAAGAGCGAGTTGTCTCCTGTGGATGGGTTCAACATAGACTTATATAGTTATACTGAAAAAGCTCGACGGCTCCCCTTTTTGCCGTCCCGGTGCCACGACGGGCTGCGGTTAAAGGACACCAGCCCCCTTTGGAGCTGATGCCCTCCGCTGCCGAAAAGCTCGCTTTCGAGCGGCAGCGTCGCTCCGGAGCTTCTTGGCCGCCTCGGTGTCTTTGAGTGCCCAGCTGCCCATGGCCATCACCTTCATCAAGCGGCCGTTCCCAGCGAGCTTCGTGAGATCATCCGCAATGATCTCTTCGCCGGGCACCCATCTCACCATCCTCGAGGCGCCATCTTCCTGGAGCGCTTGGCGCATCGCCGCCACATCGATGGCGAGGCGCTTGTCCTCCCCCAAGGCTGACCCATTGAGAAGGTCGTAGCCAGTCCGTGAGTCCAGCACGGACAACTGCCTCCACTTGGCTACCGCGGCCAGCCATCCACGGAGCGTGAAGGCTCCATCCAAGGCTTCACCCATGAAGGCCCTCAGGTAATCCGCCTCCTCCATGGTCGTTGCGGCCTGGGAGATCTCGGCGGCCAGTGAAGAGCGAACCACTCTCTTCAGGACACCTGAGTGGCAGGTGATCACACAAACTGGCGCTTCTCCTTCAAGCACCAGGGGATTTGCCACCATCAAAACTGATCCTCCCTGGGACCGTCCTCATCTGGTCCATGCCACATCCAAGCTTCTTGAACACCTGAGTGTGGGGCTCTCTTGCTCGCTCCACCAGCACCTTCAGCTCCTGTAAGGCTGCAGGGTCATTGGTGCCTGACAGCTGCTGGATCCTTGAGCATCCATACAAAAGATCAGCTCGGGCTTGGCGGGCCAGCCAATTCAGTTGTCCGATGATCGCCCCAATCCAGGACTTCTCGTTCGGCATCAGCGGAGCCATTGCCCGAGAAGCTGACCTCGATGGTGGATCCTTCACCTTCCTGGCGTACTCATTCATCTGCAGCTCCACTGTGCCGTCAGGCAACTGTCGCTCCCATCGCCCGCAAAACTTGGTGAACTCCTCGGGATGCACCCAATCACCAAACGTGAAGAGGCCCTTCAACTTAGGCCATAGCTCCACCTCCGCGACCGGGCTGCAGATAAACCTCACATCATCCACGTGCACCGCCAGCGTTGCCCAAAGCTTGACCTCGGTGTCAAAGAATGAAAAGACACCTGGTGCCAGTTGCAACTCCTTGCCACCAATGGCGATGATGTCCCGCCGAAAGCGTTGATACCATAAGCGGGGTGATTCCGCCAAACCAAAACCAGCCTTCTTCATGCGGAACAAATCAGTCCGAGCTCCAGGAGGTACCTTTGACATCAGGTACTGGCGGACAAAGAGCGGGTAGTTGGTGGGCGATTTCAAGAACACTCGCCGCCCCTCTGGGAGATAATCGCCCTGGAGAAATGCTGCCGGAATGTCAGCAAAATACATGCGCCACTGGTACTGAGCGGCCACAAAGCAGATGAAGTTGTGGGCCAGGAGAGTGGCAGTAGGAGCTTCAGTGGCATAATCACCCGCCCGCTGGTCACGATGTCCAGCAATGACCAAACGTGCCTTGAGCTTGGCATCAGTCAGATCCTCATCTGCCGCGTGGGTGTTCTTCGGGTCGGTTTTGTTCACCAGCACGAACCGACTCGGCAAAATCTCTGACTCATGGACTGGGTCCTCCGGCATGACATGCTCCAAGGCGTCGTGCTCAAAGTAGATCTCTAAGGCAGCGATGATGGGCTGTTCAAAAGCTGCCTGCCAAGCCGGAGACAACTGATTCCATTGCAGTTCAAGTCGGACCTTTCCAGTCTCTGGCTTGTCGACATCCTGCAGGACATTGCTGTCCAATTCGGCCAGCTCGAGCAGTCCACCTTGCGCACTCGGAGGAGCAGGTAGCGGCAAAGCCGTAGCAGCTGCGAATGGCGCAAAGTAACCCAAGACTGTCATCATCATCTGGGTGTGGTGCTCGCTTTCCAGAGGCATGCCTTGTCCCAGCTCTGCGACGTTCACCTCCTTAATCACCGACTTATAGGCCTGATTAGCCCGTGCTCCATGCCTCCACAACTCTTCAACCGCTTGGCGACCCTGCATCCAAGTAGCCAACACGAGATAGTCAGTGGCAGGGTCCAGCGTCACAAAGCGAGTTATCCCCCTCCATGACCTGTTCATGTCCAGGGAGGCATTCCAGCTCTTCCAATGGATGTTGTCCCGCACATACTCCTTGGCGCCTAGTGGAGTCTGATAACCCACTTGTGTTGCCCGTAGACCTTGTAGTCCAGGTACAGCATCAGGTAGTGGCTCACCATCTTGTAGGTGATCTTCATCAGGAACTATCCCAGGGACAAACATCCTTCTCCTGGGCGTCAAATGGACCCGCCCTCGATCATCATCTTCATGTAGCCCAGGCCGCGCCACTGCCGGACGAGTTTGTCCCGTGCTCAACTGACCCTTCCGATATGCTTCCAGGACCTCGGTTTGGGTGAGAGGCCGCCTCAAACGACTAGGAACATCTCCCAACAACCTCCACCGATCGGCCGGCACCTTCGCTCTGGTACAGGGAGATGGGTTTCTCAAAATGCCCACTCTGCGGAAGCCGTCCGCTCGCCAGCCTGCCGGAAGCACATCATGTTCATGTTGTAGTGGTTGACACTCGGAGGCCATGTCGGTCACATAGGCCTCATGGTCCATCACCCTGAAGGCAGGATCATCGATCAGGTCGCCCTCCCCCGGCCATGGTTCCTCAAACATGTCCACCTCAATGAAGGGCAAGCTAATCGATGCCACAGTCTGGTTGGACTCCTCCGAGGTGTAGGGACTGTACACCGGCTCACTGCCTGTAGCTTCTTCTGACTCTCCATTCTCACACGCCTCTGACCTGTCGACCACAGTTGCAGGGGCCACCGGTTCCATCATCAGGGCGCTCTTCTTCTCCAGCTTGGTCTTCATCTTTTTGAGGTGCTCCTGCGTCGTGCGGAATGCAGTCTCGTAGAAGTCCCTCTTCTGTCGGACGGTCTGCATAGCCGGGTCCACCGCTGATGAAGATGCGACCGTCGCCCGGATCGATGACTCCTCCAACTTGTTGGCGACAACCTCCTCCGAGTCGAACGACTCCCTTCTCCAGGATCTCCCTTCTTCCTGATCTTGGCAGCCACCGACATTGGTAAATCATCCAGCACGGATGTTGCTTTCTTCAGCTCTTCGGGGCCAATGTCGTCATCTGAAGGTTGTTGCTCATCATCACTCAAAGTCATCGCCGGGTATCGAGGATCTGGTGCAGGGGCTTGAGCAGGTAGTGCAGCCCGAGCCTGTTCTTCTCCTCGATTAGCAGCCTCTTCATGAGTTGGGATCAGCTCGGCATTCACTCGGCCCTTCTTCAACTGGTCCGCCAGCTGTTGTAAAGCTTCCTTCGTCACCTGGGTGGCCTCAATCTCGTCTCCCGTAGCTAACCTGATATGCTCAAGCGGGAGTCCACGAAGTTTGTGTCTGTATCTGATCCAGACACGTTTGATGGCCCCATCAAGTCTCTCCACCGCCACCACCACAGCCGGGCCAACCCAGGACGCGTTGTCCTGACCCAGGACACGTTGTCCTGCAGCCTGCGAGCCAAGCCCCGTCGGCTCACTGGCGGCTCATAGAACATGACCTGCGTGCCCTCCACCAACAGTTCCATCCTCGGCAGCCGTGCTCTTGAGCCTGCTGCCTTCTTCAGGCTCATTGGCTTCCAGCCACTGGTAGGCTTCGGTCGCTGCCCTCCGGATTGAAGCAGCCCGATGATTGGCTTCATCCATTGTTTGAGGCTGCGACACCTTGAAGTGGAACTGCCCGGCAATGGTCTCCATCAGGTTCCCCGGCATGCTGATTTCCTTGCCGAAGATGAGTTGCATCGGCGAATATCCAGCCACCCTTGTCTGCAGATTCCTCGCTGTAGTAGCCGCGACAACGGCCGTTTGCAGTTCATCGAGGCCGATGATGGTGCGTTCTTTGATCATTTTCATCAACATGACCTTCAACACAGCACCGTGCCTCTCAGCGAGCCCCATCCTCCATGAAGCACTTGGAGGCACCATATCATGAAACACCCCAAAGGTGCGAAGAAGCGGCTCAACTGCTCCTTGATATTCCGGCCCTTGATCTGTCATCAAAATCTGAGGGAGACCGAAGGCTCGGAACCAGGAATCTCTCAAAAGGCCGACTGTAGTTTGAGCCGTTGCATCCACCGCAGCAACCCCCACTGGTACAACGAGAAGCTGTCGATGACGTGGGTAACCGCGTACTTGGTGGCTTTGGCATCCCAGACGTAGAAGGTGTCTGAGCACAATCTCACATTCCAGGACATCGGTCGGGCATAGGCCGATTTTGGTGTGGGTGTTGGTGCCGTCACCCTTTTGCACACCTGACAATCAAGGTCTTTTATCGCCTGGAGGACAGAGGTTTTGGCACCATTTTGGGTCATCATCCGGGCTAACTTCTCGTTGGAAATGTGGCCAAGTGCAACATGCAAGTGAGCCAGCGTCGACTTGATCTTCTTGGTCAAATTGGCCGAGACGCCCAAAAACGAGATGTAGTCATACCCCTGATGCCCATCCAAAATGTTCATCTGTTGCCGCAATTGTCCTTCAGGTAGGCTTTTTATGCGGCATTTGTGAGATGCGGTCCTTCATGCCCATCCTGCACACATGCACCACTCGTTGATGGACGTTCTGGCGTTGGGTCATCACGGGCAACCGAAGAGCCTCAGAAGTGGCTGGCTGCTCAAGAACCACCAACCCCCCCTTGAAATTCTGAAACTCCCAACACCAAGCCACCAAATTCCAGAAGGGAAGATGTTGTCGGCGAAGTTCACGAAGAGCCGCCTTGCGTTTGCGAAGGCGCTGCCAGGCTGACCAAGGGCCACATGGAGGAGCAAGTGTAATCACATCCGGTTCCTGGGCCCGGATCACATCCTTGAGGAGCTCGATGCGCTCGTCCTTCAAAAGGTCCAAGCCTCCGGACAGGGTATCCTGAGGCGGAAGGACATCCCAGCAAGCATTGCGCTTGCGTGCCCGTGTGGACAACCAAGCTTGTCCCGCAAACACCTCCATCAGGGTCCATCGGTCAACTTCAGCCGACTTGGCGTCGAGGACGTCATAGAGCTTGTTGTGCGCCCTGATTGCTCTTTGGACACCTTGTTCAATGGAGCGCTTCTGTCGGCGGTTCAAGGTATGCTTCACAGGCGCATGCCCCTTGCCGTCGCCCTCCGCCGTGAAGTGACCCGCGGAAACCTCAAGAGTGTCCTGCAACTCAGAGTGGAAGAGCTCGTGAATGTCATTCTCCATCACATTGTCCCCAGCTGCAGCCGCCACCAGGTCCACCCTGTCAATCTCCCGGGCATGGTGCTCTGCCGTTAGCTCTTTCACCTCTGAACCATCCTCTACTCCCCGAGCCAGACCACCTTGGGAGAGTAGCAAAGCTGCCGCGCCGCCCCCAGATGTCCCCACAATGCCGCAATGTGGTTTCCTTGCATCCACATGATCCATCGGGGGTTGCGGCGCCATTTCTTCTTCTCGGTCTCCACCGCGGCTTTGATTCGGAGCAGCAGAAGCAGCATCTTCCACTTGAAGGTCAGGGTCTGGGACTTGAGGCTGATCATCAAGTTCATGGTGGGGTCGTCGGAGAACAGAGGGAGAGCGTAGGAAACGGTGCCTCGTCCCCTGTCAATGCCGCAGTCCTCACCTTCCGCGGCGTCTTCTTGACCTTCGCTGACTCCGGCACCTTCTCTCGCCCACTGCTTCGGCCTCGGCCCGGAGCTGTCGCCTTGGCCCTGTCCGGGGTCTGCCCCTGCATGAGCTCCTGCATCTGCATCATCATCGCCTGGAGCTGCTCCATGTTCATCTGCAGGGGTTGAGGCACTGATGCCGTGGATGCCGATGCGGGCTCTTCTCGAGCTGTCTTCTTGGCTGAGGTCGGCCTGGCTGGCCGCTGCTTCCGAGCGGCTGCCGGAGGGCTCTGCGATGAAGACTTCCGGATGCGCCGATTGAGCACTTGCCTCCTCACCGTCCTCAACGGGTTCCGCAAAGTGCCCATGACCTCCTCGTTCTCCGGCGCCTCTTCTGCGGACATCTCGAGAAGGTCCTCTTCCGGATCCAGTCCCACGTTTTCCCATTCCGTCTGGGACAGCTCGTAGGCCTCCGGCTTGTGATCCGGCCTCCGGCGGCTCGCCATGCACGGGTCGCAGGCCGGAGAGGGGTTGCGAAGTGGCTTCCCCCTCACGAATTGCTGAGCCCCGCGGTGCATCGAACACCTGAATCTCAACGTGATCCGGCATGTCAAATCCACTTCCGATCGAAGTCCACGAGGGTGCTGCATCACCATCAATTGGGATCACGTAGTGGCCCCCTCTAGATTGTTCTAGCCCATAAGCCTTGACACCATGCTTTCTTGAAGACACGGTATGAGATGAAGTGTCGATACCCAACCCAAGTTCCGAACATACCGGCTTCGACGTGAGAGGTGGACAATTTCCATGCACCACGGACACCCGGAGTACCCCATGCATGCCTGCCACGTCACTTCGAGCATGACGGAGTACTGACTCGTGATCACTTGACCATCACCAAAACGAAATTGTTCCTCTTCCGGGCTCACCTTCAAAAACCAGCCCCGTTGTTTCCACTTCCGGACCACCCGATTGATCCACGTAGTTCCAGCTACGGTCTTCATACAGCCCAAGTCCACTATCATCTTGGTGTTGGTTCGGGTGTCCAATTCGTCCATCGCCCAAAAGACTTGATGGGGTTCTGGTGGATGAAGTGTCCTCAATCCAGTCACCGCCCTCCCGTCGTTGCTCACCATATACACTCCAGAAGCGGCCAGTGACTCCAGCAAAGCCCATTTTTGCTGCTGAGCTTGTGAGACCTTAAAGTCACATTGGCGGCATGGACATTCTTGTCCCTTCGCCGGTAAGGGCACTCCTGGCTCCAATGCCCCAACTGGTGGCAAATGAAACATGGCTCCTTCTTCTGCTGCTCGGCCACCCACTTCTTGACATGTTCTCCTCGAGCCGCTGTGGGACCACCGGGAGCTTCCTTCTGGAAGTACTGCCTCATCTTCTTGATCTCCCTCACGCGGTTGCGTGCCTTGAACTCCTGCGCATAGATCTCCGCGAGCGGGGAGACAGACCCAGCAGCATCGCCCGGGGATCCCGAAGCCACAAAGGCATCATGGGTGCTCGGTGGTGTGAACTCTGTCATATCGCCAGGGTTGTCAGCCTTCTCTTCATCCTCATCGACAGAGTCCTCGCCCATCACATCAGCCAGCGTCTCCTCCAACAGGTCTTCATCACCCTCATCTTCCAGGATTGCTACCAGAGCATCCCTGAAACGGCGTCGGCCAGAGGTCGCAAAACGTCCACCCCGGGCCCTTGGAAAAGGGCGACGCCGGTTGACAGAAGGAGGATCAGATGCCGAGGTAGAAGTCGATGAGGTAGCGCCCGGTTTTTGGACAAGGTACTGGTCTTCATTGTCCAGCTGTGGCTCACCGCGTCCAATGGGACAGTAAGGCGCTCCTTCGACTTGTTCGGCGAGTTCCAGCATTGCCGAAATGACCTTGGTCTCATCCTCGATGTCACCGCCACAAGCTGCCTTGAGGAGAGCGAAGTCCTTGCGGGTCAACTTTGAGCTGTCCAATAAATGACCCACATAAAAGCAGGATCCCACACGATAGGCCGGCGAGGCCTCGTTCTCGCGCCGGTAGATCTCGGCCCGATTGATGAAGCTCTCGATGCTCTCGTTGGGGAGTCTGGCCAACTTCATGAACTTTTGCCTGCATTTGTCGATCTTCTTGTTGTCCAACAACCTGATTATAGGTGATTTCTCCATCTCCTTCTTTATGATGTCAACTCCGTGAATGGAGGTCACCTCTTCCACCGTCAGGTGTTGTACAATCTTTCCTGCTCGCTCCCTCAACTGCTGCATCAATCTCGGGCCCCGCATTTCCACAGGCAGCGACTTACCCTCAGAGGCCAGCCAAAAGGTCACCGTCCTCCAGTATTGTTCCCAACTTTCACCTGGACGGGCATAGAAAATTGGAGGGTATGTCGTAGAAATCTTCCCTCCTCCGGACCCAGCCTGGCCACTTCCGCTGCCTCCGGCTCCACCCGCAATGGAAGGAACACCCGAGGGCACCTCACCAGTAGGCTTGTTCCAGGTGTCTCGAACTGCTGGAGCTCCTGGTGACAAAGGCGACTCAGCTGTCACCTCATGGCTCTCTTCAGCCACCGCCGCATCAACTGGTACTCCATGGCCTCCAGCAAGTGGTTCTGGTGTAGGCCGCCTCCAGTCACCTGCATATACTTCAGCACGTCGTCCTTGGTCGTGAGATAGTGAGGACGAAGTTCCAGGATCATCTGCATGAACCTCATGATGTAGTCCAGGCTCATACCATTCGCGAGCCGACTTCCATGACGCTGAGGAGTGCCCAGAGCGTGAAGAGCTCTCTGAATCGGTTTCCCAATTGCGATTCGGGCTCCATCCCTGATTCCAAGTCGTGTTCTGCACCACTTGAGTCGGCCCCTCCGACTCCGATGACCACGACCATCCACTTCCTGAACCCTCTCGAGAGCTCTGCCAATTCGATCTTCCCCAAGCCTCATCAGCCCAGTAGACATGCCTCGGCTGTCGGCTCTCTCTCTCTCTCTCTCTCTCTGTCCACTCCCCATAGTTCACCTTCTGCCAGGATCCATAGGACTCCACCCCCGAAGATGCCCTTGAAGATGTCCTGGATGAAGTATCTGATCAATTGGCGTACCGCTGCTGGTCCTGGGGGACATGCTGCCATGGGTCTCCTTGTAACCAGGGGTCCTCGCTGTCCCGGCTAC